GGTTGGGATTGGGATCGGGATCAGGATTGGGATTGGGATCGGGGTTGGGGTCGGGATTGGGATCGGGGTTGGGATCAGGATTGGGATTGGGGTTGGGATCGGGATTGGGGTTGGGATCGGGATCGGGATCAGGACTGGGATCAGGATTGGGGTTGGGATCGGGGTCAGGATCAGGATCGGGGTCAGGATCGGGGTTGGGATTGGGATCGGGGTTGGGATTGGGGTCAGGATCGGGATTGGGATCGGGGTTGGGATCGGGGTCAGGATCGGGATTGGGGTTGGGATCGGGGTTGGGGTCGGGGTCAGGATCGGGGTTGGGATCGGGGTCAGGATCGGGATTGGGGTTGGGGTCGGGGTCAGGATCGGGGTTGGGATTGGGGTCAGGATCGGGATTGGGATTGGGATCGGGGTTGGGGTCGGGGTCAGGATCGGGGTTGGGATCGGGATTGGGGTCAGGATCGGGATTGGGATCGGGGTTGGGGTCGGGGTCAGGATCGGGGTTGGGGTTGGGATTGGGGTCAGGATTGGGATTAGAATTGGGATTGGGATCAGGGTTGGGATCAGGATTGGAATTGGGTTTGGGATCGGGATTGGGATCAGGGTTAGGGAGAGCGAGATGGGGGTGGTGGGGAACAGGGTCAGGGAGCAGGGGGAGAACAGGGATCGGGGTTGGGATCGGGGTTGGGATTGAGATTGGGATTGGGATTGAGATCGGGATTGGGGTTGGGATGTAGGATGGGGTGCGGCGTTTGGGAGGTGGGATGGGATCCATGGGAAAGGATCGGTGATCCCTGGGTGCTCCCTGAGGGGTTTTTGGGGTGGATCCCTGAGGGATTTTTGGGGTGGATCCCTGAGGGATTTTTGGGGTGGATCCCATGGATTTTGGGGTAGATCCCTGTGATTTAACCCCTCCCAGGCCGGGCTGCGGGCACGGGAACGCGCGGCAGCGCTGAGGCTGCAGGGGCTGTTCCGGCTGCGGGCGCTGCGCCGGGCGCTGCAGCACCGCGAGCAGGAGCTGCGGCGCCGGCGGCTGCTCCGGGCGCGGCTGCGGGAAATGAGGGACAGAGCCCCGAAACGGCTCGGGAGGATCCGGTGAGGGAACGGGAAAAGGGGGATTGGGAAATGGGGATTGGGGATTGGGGATTGGGAGTGGGGAAATGGGGATTGGGAATGGGGAAATGGGGATTGGGGGGAAATGGGGATTGGG